GCCGCTGCCAGCGCCGGGTTGCGAGTCGGCGGCCGGGGCCCGCGGACGAGGTGGGCTAGAGGCCAGCCCAGCTGCCTGGACCCTCCGGACGCAGTCCCCGACCCGAGCGGCGGCGGTTTCTGGTTAGGTGGGGAGGCGCTGCCAAGCCCCAGGAGGGGAAGATGTTCAACGTGGAGTCTGTGGAGCGGGTGGAGCTGTGCGAAAGCCTTCTCACTTGGGTATGTCATGACCTGCGGGTCGCTGGGAAGACCACCCTCTGCCCCACCACAGGCCGCCTTTCCAGGAGCCCCCCCGCCCCCCCGTATTTATCCCGGGGGGCGAGCGCCGAGGGCGGCGGCGCCGTCACGTCCGGGCCTGGGGCGGGCGGAGCCCGGGGCTCCGGTGCAGACCGCGTCTACACCCGCGGCCGGCGGGGTCGGCCTGGGGCGGCCGGTCTGCGTGGAGGCAGCGTGGCCCCGGGTCCGGGGGAAACTTGCCGGGCTTGAGAGCTTGGCTGCGGTCCGAGTGGAAACCTTTCGGCTCCGTGGAGGCTAATGATGGGGTGCCAGCGACACCGTAATTAGGATTGTTGTTGTTTGCAGCTGATGAGGCACTGGCGCGTCACTCTCTTGCTTCCAGGGACACCAAAGCGTTGGTAGCCCTGCGCCCGGGCGCAGCGCGGGGAGACTCCCGGGGCTCCTGGTTACGACGCTCCTCGCCTTTGTTTTAACATTCTCAGGATGGAGCGGAGCTCCTGCTGGCATGAGCGGAGTCCCCTTGAGAAGAAAAAAAGGAAGCCGAAGAGAACGGGGAACTGGATTCAGAAACAGTTTGGGCTGTGGGGAAAGCAATAACGAAAAGGCTCCCAGAAAGACAGGATTTAAAAGGCGAGGTGCATTTTGACAATTAGAAAGTAAGTGACGTGGAGGTACTTATTGAAGGTATAGATGTTTATGTATGTATATATATATATATGCACATATAATTTGGAAGGTATTTGGGAGTAATAGAAACGACATTTTGTAGCAATGTCTTGGGATTTTAACTTATTAGCCCTCACCTTTTAAAGCTACAATGTGTTCTATTCTAATGCAGATGGTAGTGCCTTTAGAGCCAAACGTTGAAGGCATGTTTGCTTGTTTCTCAGACTGGTGCCAGTGCCCAAGAGCTGTAAAGAGCCATGAGTGGGATAAAAGTACTGCTTGTTTCTGGGACATTGGTTTTATTCATTGACCATTTAAAATATAATTTCTATAATAAAGTAAAAGATATGCTTACGGTGGAGGCCAAATATTTGTATTTATTTTAAAGATAAAACACAACGTTTCAAGGAATATCTCAGCTTAGCCAGTGCCTTGGATTATGTGTTCATATGGAGTATAGATAACATACTTCTGTGCTGGGGCACTTTGGTAGGAAAGTTTGAAAGCATCGCCTGGGGTTGGTTGTAACAAAATATAATGAAAATAGAATATGATTTTGTGATTCAGCTTGTGTCAGAATCAATCATGTGCTCTGAAACAATAGAGTGTTCACTATAGTCGGTAACTAAATATTTTAGAGCATCCTTGGCAATTTAGGTTGTTTATAAGAATGTATAGTTAGCATGCTGCTTATAACTGATGGAATGGAACGTTCCAAATTCCAGCAAAGAATACGTGTTTCGTGGTTGTTTTTCAGGGAAGGGAAAAAACCTGATAAGTTGCATCACGTGGCCAAGTTTTGACTAAGCAGGGTGAAGATAAAGCAAAGAATTACCACATTCTTTGATTCTGTGGAAGAAATGGAGTCGACAGAGGTCAGAAATAGAAGGCTGAGACTCTTTTAAGATTTTGTTTTGAGTCTATAACAACAGTGCCTCCCTCGATGCTAGAAAATGAGGCAAGAGGGCAAAGATGATGAAGTCCATTGAATTTGAAGTCGGGATACATTGTTTAACGTCTATAAAGAAAAGTCTTGGGAACAAAGGTGTATTTGAAAGGCAACTGCAACAAATAAAAGTATTCAGGATGGTGATTTCAATGTGAAATGCTAATAAAAATATGAAGGAAGGAGCTCACGGGGTCGTTTGAAGGGATACTCATAAAGAATCTAGCATCATCAGAATCTGAAAAATGGAAAACAAGCCAGCAAACCAGAGCTATTTTTCTTTATCAGCTGCAGAGAGGTGTCAACAAATAAGACTTTGTAAATGGTGTTTGAAACCTCTTCAAGGAAAATTTCTGGAGAAGCTAAGAGAATATCAGTGACGATACTGGAGAGCAGGGTCCACACAAAGATGAACCATTCTAAGACTCGGAAAGACTTAAAAGTATTATACATCAAACTGTTTCAAAATAAACTCTAGTTTAAATCTGGACTTGTCCCCTCTTAGTTGTTACTATATAAAAGACAATCAATGTTCCCGTGAAAACGTGCTTGAGGTAGCTGAACATAGACTTTGAACGTCGTCTACTACTGCCGTAGAGTTGATTCCAAATCACAGTGACCCTCTTCACTGGCTTTGAACCACCACCTTGTGGTTAGCAGCCCCAACACTACTGTGGCACCTTCCCGAATCGAGTGACACTGCTTCCTTTGGGAGACCAGATTAATACTGAACCCAATTCCAAAAGGGAATGCAAGGAAATGGATAGTTTTCTGATTAATATTTATGGAAGTGAAAGGCCTCCATAAAGAATCATTTACTCCAGCCTGTTGCTTGTGTGGTTTCTTTGCACACAGCAAGTCAGAAGGTGACTGCAGCTCAGCAAAATACAGACAGCTGGTAGTGACAGCAAAGACACAAGAGCTGAAAGTTCTGTCGAAGGTGTTCCGGGTTTGAACTGACCACCTTAGGGGCCCTCAAGCACTTGTACATTCACAAAGCTATTGAAGACACTCTTTATCATCCTGAATGTCAAATAAAAGTTTCTTTTCTTTACATAACACTTCATTTAAGATAAGGAAGATGCAAAAAAACACATTTTAGGAATTTCCCCATTAAAAATGGAAAAGTAATAAAACCTCAGGTACTTCAAGGTCTGACTGTTAGTCACCTATGCAGAATTCAGTTCTGTGGAGCAACGCTCTGCCGCCAAATGCTGGGTAAGTTGCCATTAAAGAGCCTGCCAGCTCACGAACCAAATGATCAAAACTTCGGTTGAAAGATGAATGCTCATGAAAAGACAAAGTACTAGCCTGTGAACAGAAACCATGTTAAGGCTTAGATTCCAAATCAAGGTTTACGTAGCGAGAGCAAGTTCAGCAGGATGTGCTTGAAAATTTCCATTCTACCTCCTCCTGTCCCCACCCTCTGAGTCAAAATCTCTGCCCTGCCTATTCCGTCCACCAGGCCTGAGCCTTGAGCTGTACACAATTCCCAATGAAAAGATTAAGACTGTGAAACAATGGCTCTGTCATGCTACCAGCAACGGCAAGGAGTTACAGTACATGGGAAAGGAATCGCCATGTAGACACAGTAAATTTCTCTGGGAGGCCCAGCAACATTTACATACCCTTCTGACTTTCATGCTGTTCATCCAGCTGCTTGTAAAATGCATACTAGAATTAGGGAAGGTATCATTTTATGATAGTGTCTATTAGTCCTGGTGGCATGGTGGTTAGAGTGCTCTGCTGCTAGCGCAAAGGTCAGCAGCTGGAACTCACTAGCTGTTCCTGAGGAAAGATGAGGCCGTCTGCTTCCGTAAAGACTGATAGCCTTGGAAGCCCTCTGCGGCTGGGCTCCTCTATCCTACAGCTCATTCTGAGTTAGCAGCGGTTTGATAGCAACCTGACTGCGGTGGGTTTGGTCTCTGTTCTGTTCTTCAAGCTTTTCCCTCTGAAGGAGGAGAAAGGAAATTACTAATGCACAAGAGTTAAATTACATACCTCTGACAACGCTTACTCAGTGGGTTTTATTTTTGTTTGCTTGTTTTTAATTGAGGGTGATGCTGTCAGGTAAACGTTGAATCACCGACGGCAAATTTGGCAGTTCAAACCCACCAGCTGTTCCTTGGAAGCAACACAAAACTCCTTGCTCTTGTACAGATTTACAGCCTCGGAACCCCCTATGGAGTTGCTGTGAGGTGGAATTGGCATGGTGGCAGTGAGGTGTTTTGTTTTGTTTTAATAGCAAGGTAGTTGAAGAACACAGATTGCCTGGGTTCAAATCCTTGGTTTGTTTGATGGTCATGGTAATATTGGGCATGTAATGTCATTTCCGTTTTTATTGCATTCATATTTAACAGTAAGGTTGCTACTAGCACCATCAGCATTAACTGGAGGGCTTATTCAAATATAGATGCTCAGCCCCACCTCCAGAATTTCTGATTCAGTGGATCTCTGGGGTGGGGTGGGGGGCTGAGACTTTGCAGTTCTGACATGTTCCCCAGGGAGGAACCTGCTAGTGGTCTGAGGACACACTTGCACAGGGCTTCAGGACCTCTACTATTGACATTTGGGACTGGATCATTTGTTGTTTTGGCACTTCTGTGTGCCTTGTAGGCTGTTTTAGTAACATCCCTGGCCTCTACCCACTAGATGCCAATAACACTGAGTTATAAAAATAAAAAATATCGCCAGACACTGGCAACTGTCTCCTGAGAAGCCAAATCAACCCAGTTACAAACCACTGCGCTTGAAATGCTAGATGGTAGAGGTTGGGTGGTGCTAATAGAGCTTATTAGAGTTAAAAGAGAGGTTACAACCCTTTAGGTAGAATTTCATGTCTTAAAGTTATTTATAAGTTAGATCATGTGTTGGGCTGCTCACTGCAATGTCAGCAGTTCAAAACCACCAGCCATTGCACAGGAGAAAGAGGAAGCTTTCTACTTCTGTAGAGTAAGTCTCAGAAACTCACCGGGAGAGTTCTGCTCTGTCCTAAAGGGGCCTCTAGGAGTCAGAATTAATTCAGTGGCTGTGAGTTTTGTAGATTTTACTGAACTATCATTCCTTAGATCAGTGGTTCTAAACCTGTGGGTGGCGACCCCTTTGGGGGTTGAACGACCCTTTCACAGGGGTCACCTGACTCATAACAGTAGCAAAATGACAGTTATAAAGTAGCAACGAAAATAATTTTACAGTTGAGGGTGTCACCACAACATGAGGAACTGTATTAAAGGGTCACAGCATTAGGAAGGCTGAGAACCACTGCCTTAGATGTTAGCTCAAGCGTGTGTGAGGACTGGAAAGCAATGGATTTTTTTTTTCTCATTTTGTTAGTGAATATAATTCATGTGCCATAAACCGCATCTTTTTAAGGTGGTTGTTTTGTAGATTCACAAGACTGGGCCACCAACATCACTATCTGATTCTAGAACATTTTCATCACCCCCCAAAAGGAACTCCGTGGGGATAGTTTTCTTTGGGATCTGCTTTGCTGTATTTTTCTGCTCTGCTTGCATATCAAAGCTGAGAAGGACATCTTCTAGCCCTTCCAAAAGACGAGCCAACCTCATTCTCATTGAGTCAATTCCTGCTCGGATGTGGATCCTGGAGGATGGAGTAGAATTGCTCACAGGGCTTCTAAGACTGTAAGCAGAAATTCTCATCTTCCTTCTGCAGAGCAGCTGGTGGTGTAATCACTAGGCAGCGCACCTCTTTTAGCCCTTAGTAAGCAAGTGTTCTTCAAGCACCACTTCATAGAAGATAAGAGTTGTTTTAGAAGCCAAGTTTTAAAGAATGAAAATGCCTTCAAAACAGATAAAGTGCTACAACTAAGTTACCTGCTTTATCAAATAGCTTGTCTTCCTGAATTGTTTCTTCTGATTGACCAGAGGCAGCGTTCTAATCTTTTACCTTTGGTAATGAGTTGGGGATCAGAATGTTAGAATTGGATTTCCAACTCTCTCCCCCCACACCCTAGCCCTCACAGTATACACAGTATCTGATTCAGAAGCGTACAGTTTCAAAATGAAAATTCCCCAGGTGATT